TAGTAATAATAACAAAATAAATTTTAAAATTGTACACGCAATTACAGGGAAATTTAATTTTCTTCTCTTAATAAATACAGACTTCTTTCTGTTAGACATGAAAAGCAATCTACCCTCTCATTTATATGGCAATTTTCATTTGTCATAGAATCAGAAATAAGAATACATTTTATACAAATTCTATAATTTTTGAAACTTGATAAATGTGTATTTGTATTTACACATTGCTTACATTTTATATCTACAACCTAAGGTACTGAAATTTAAAAATTTAGGCCAGGCATGGTGGTTCACACCTATAATCCCAGTGCTTTGGGAGCTGAAATGGGAGGATCACTTGAGGCTAGGAGTTTCATACGAGCCTGGGCAACATAGCAAGACCCTGTCTCTAAAAAATTATAAGGACTTTGTTCACTTTGCTTACTACCAAGTTAAGCCTTTTTCTTCTTATTTCTTTCTTTCTTTTTTTTTTTTTTTACTTTTTCCCAGGATCTCCAGCTTACAGACCAAGTTAAATTTTTTGATAACCCAGTGTACTTTGCAGAGAAGCCCAAAACATTATTAAAAATGTAATGGTTAATACAATAATATGGCTGGACATTCAGAAAGGCAGGTTGCAACATATTCAGCAATGACAACAGTCCTTTTTTTTTAAAACTGAGGATATTTGTTCCAGAGCAAAGTCATTTTAGATTAAAGTAATATTGAGAGGGGTGAGTTGCGTTTCCTCCCCCTAGCGTTATTAGGTTAACAGGTAAGAAATACAAGGTAGGTAGGATAACTGAGTAATTTCATCTCCTCAGTACATATACTGCATTTATACTGATTTAACTATAGGCCTTTTGAATAATGCCAATATATCAGAAAAGGATATTCTGCCTGGTAATGTACACTGAGCTATGGCAATTTCATTCCATTAATTGAGAGTACACATCTCAGATAGTTATTATAGCCCTTTATCTGAGATAAAAGTGCTATTTCTCAAGTGAAATGTAAGGCATAGGTACTATTAATGATGGAGAAATAGAAAGGAAAGAAAGCAAAGTTAAATGGTGAGTGAGCATATACCATGCCGATGCTCGGTCTTCTTTCATACTGAACTGGCATGATATAGTTTAGAATAGAGAGCTGGTCTGTGGTATCCTCCAGAACTGCAGAGATCCTCAGCACATCTGGAAGGGAGAGTGGCTCTATGATTTCTGGGATGATTTCTACATCTGTATGAACAGCTATTCCTTCTTTTACAGCAGTAGGTGGTTCACCAGTCACTGACACCATTATCTCAGAATGCAAAGCCTTTGGAGGAACATTCGAGGCTTCCAGACTGCCTCTAAGGAAAGGATAAAGAAAAAAATAAGTCAGTGACCATTGTTTAAATATTACTTAAATTCGAAAGCACAGGCAGCACTTAGATTGGCTCCTGTGAAGTTCATATTGTCATATAATATAACCTAAATGAAAAACAAAAGCAAGAATTTACATGTGATTTTGCATATACCTTCTATTTTGACCAACCAAAGGCAAACAACTTAACTGTTTAATAAAGATATGTAGCCCATGCTATTTGGCTATGCTTAACTAATTTGAATTTGAGCCAAAATTAATTTCTTTTCTAGAAACAACTTTAGTTGCTAAGCAAAAGTGTCTCATGATTAGTGAAAAACAGAATGTGGTAGCTAGCCTCCAAAGGGGCCCCAAATGATTCTCACTTTCTGGTATTCATGCAATTGTGTAGTCTCCCCTGCATTGACTAGGACTAACCTATGTAACCAAAAGGATATTATGGGGATGACAGAGTGTGACTTCCAAGGCTAGGTGATAAAAGATATTGCAGCTTCTGCTTTACTCTCTCATATCTCTCACTCTGAGGGGAGCCAGCTGCCTTGTCATGAGAACACTTAAGCAGTACTATGGAGACATCCATGAGGGTGAGGAACAAAGGCCTCTTGGCAGTAGCCAGCATCAACTTGCCAGCTCTGTAAATTAACCATCTTGGCAGTGCATCCTCTAGGCCCCATCAAGTCTTCAGATAACTGCAGCCCCTGGCCAACTTCAACCTTATGAAGGACCCCAAGCCAGAACCATCCAGCTAAACTGCTCCCAAACTCCTGACCCACAGACACTGTGTGAAATAATAAATGTTTGTATTTTAAGTCACTAAGTTATGGGGTGATTTGTTACACAGCAATAGGCAAGTAATACACAGAAATTTAACAGAAGGCATAATGTAAAAAATACACACAAAATAAATTGGAATTTTGAACATACTCTTCCATTCTTCTTGAGTTAGTTTTGTTATCCTCCATGGTGTATTTATAATCTCACAAAAATGCAGTCACCTAAAATGGGAAGGAACACTGGGATTAGTTTAAGGGAGTCCTGAATGATACATGAGTTATTTTGATGCCCTTTCAGTAAGAGAAAGTTAAAGAACGACAAGAGCTGTGGCTTATCCCCTCTTTTCGCTTAGTAGAGTAGTCCCAGAGAGGAAAGAACCACTGATGAGGGGGAACACATTAAGTAGTCTACCAAACCTGAAGATACATGCACTTTTTGAGTCTCTTCTTAAGGTAAATTAATGACCAACATGGTTTCAGTGTTTTTCAAATTTTCTTAGAGATGGGGTCTTGCTATGTTGCCCAGCATGGATTGCAGTGGCTATTCACAGGCATGATCATAGACATACTGCTGCCTCAAACTCCTGGCCTCAAGCTATCCTCCTACCTCAGCATCCTGAGTAGCTATTAGTGTGTTTTATTGCATTATGATTTTTAATTGGTAATCTCTATATAATAGATTTTTCTATTATTCTGATTACTATAATATTTAATTAGATCACACCATTCCTCTGATCTGCCAGATAACACAATTTGTTGCACCTGGACTTAGAAGAACAAATGAGATTACATTTAGAAAAACTAGTAATCCTGGAAATCAGTTTAATGCTGCTAGCAAGATGTTATCCCTCCTCAGTAAACTAAAACCTTTTCTGCTTAAATTAGCTTTACAAGGAGAACACCCGTGGAGAATTTTGCTTTATAGTAAATGAACAGTGAATGTTAAGTTTCCAGTGTGATTTTGTCCACAAGAAAGTATTAAATAGCCCTGAGAGAGGTGGTGCAAGTATGTCTTACACAAGAAAAATCTGATATGCAAAAATTCAAACGTATGTAACAGAATCTTTGTGTAAACTGAAATAAGATACTCCATACTAGCCACATTTTCTGATGCCAGGTAAGTCTTAGAAGGAAGGAACATGGTATTAAGCAGAATTGTGTTATGTTGTTTGTTTTTCCACTACTTTAGGCTTGGGGCATAGGTAAAGGTGATTCACATAGGTAAGACAGGGCTATGTTCATGTAGAATGTAGTACTTTAATGGTGTTTTGGCTTCTCATTCCTAATGCTAGAAACCCAGGAGTCACTCCTGCCACCTCCTTCATCTGGACATCAGCATTCCCCCTAACCCAAACCATCACCGAGTCCTGTGGATTTTACCTTTTATCCCATATCCTCCAACACCATGTTGGGTCTAGTTGTTGTTTCTTTCTTGAACTAGTCTAACAGCCTCCAAATTGGAAGTGATCTTTTTAAAATAAAAGAGTGGGCCAGGCGCAGTGGCTCACACCTGTAATCCTATCACTCTGGGAGGCCGAGGCTGGCAGATCCTTTGAGCTCAGGAGTTTGAGACCAGTCTGAGCAAGAGCAAGACCCTGTTTCTACTAAAAATAGAAAGAAGTTAGCTGGACAATTAAAACATATATAGAAAAAAAAATTAGCCGGGCATGGTGGCACATGCCTGTAGTCCCAGCTACTCAGGAGGCTGAGGCAGAAGGATCACCTGAGCCCAGGAGTTTGAGATTGCTTTGAGCTAGCTGACACCACGGCACTCACTCTAGTCCGGGCAACGGAGTGAGA